TGTCCTTATCTGCATGTTTCTTTTTTAAATAATTGATTGGATTTATTTGTGTAAAATCTCATGCAAAGTAATTCATCAGATTTATTTGTGTGAAAAAAATCTCATTTTTCCCGATTTTCGAAACTTGAATTTGGATTTCTTTGAAATTTGTGAATTCCGCAGTTTTCTGCCAGTTTGTTTATGTGCTCGCAAAATTAGCACAGTTTTCCGGGGTGGGGGAGGGGAGGGAGCTTTCAGGAGGCGATGATGTAATCAGGACATCTTTTGTGAACTGGTGTGCGTAAATTTCGAATGAGAAGCAATTAAAAAATTGGGGAAGGGAGACGAATGAGGGAAGTGAAGGAAAGAGAAGGGAGCGGAGCAGAGCATGATAATCGTTCAGCCGTTTCTGGATATGCCTTTGCGTTTTATATACCTTTCATTCTTGCTCTTTCCTTGTTGATTATCGAGCTCCGCAACTGGCCATTTTTGCAGGGGTAAGTGTACGATACGCTTGATCAAGGATATTCGCACATTGCGCGAATGCGATGTTCAGTCGTTGAACGATAATTTTTTCTCATTGGTTTCGTTTGATCCAAATAACAGCAGGCTGGCATCGATACAAGGTGAAATTCGAGTCGGCAGCTCATATCAGGTGCGGTTTCGCAGCCTCTCTGTCTCAGGCTTCCCAAAAAGAAACGTGCAAGTGGATTCTGAATAAAGTCATTGCACTACTTTTTAGCGTTAGCGAACATGGCTTTCTTTTGTTTGATGTTGCCCAGGGTGCTGTTAGACACAAAAAAATTGTCTTGTAAAAATTACGAACAAACAATTACAGTTTTTTAGTGTAACAAAAACCAAATTTTTTACGGATTTCTAGCGGTGCCTCTTTAAAGCCAATAGCAGAGTATATGTAAAAAATAATAATTTAATTGACATTAAAAAGTTTCGTTCGATTAAGATGTATATAATTGAAGAATCTGTCCACATAAACTTGTGATTCAAAGCGCGAAAACTTCCTGAATTCTGGAATTATCCAACTCCCACAATACATCTGTTTCATACGGAAAGCCAAACATAACGCACTTTCAGTTAAACAGGAAGTGACTGCTTCTCTCAGTACTTTTTGAGTTTCTTTGATAGACGGCAAAAACATTTCTAAGCAGTGTTGGATTGGAGTAAATGTAGAGCCATCAGGATTGCCTTTAGCTAATGTTATGGAGGTTTAAATGTCTATACGTGCCCTTTTCTGGGATTTTTTGTCTCACGTTTATGTTTGCTCCGCTACCATACACACAAATCACTTCTTTGGGCGCTATTTGATTGCTTAAAATTTCATTGCCAATAAATAAAGCCGAGGA